AAACCAAATTAAGGTGGCTCAATACAGTTTCCAGCACTTTCCAAGACGTAGATTATGATTTAAGGTGGCTCTGAACCCCACGTACAGAATTTTTTAAACTTTGCCAAAAATTGCATCTTATCCTGCTTATCAAAATTCTATAAGAAGAAAAAAATTTCACCGTGCCGTTTTAAGCTGAATTTAAGGGTGTTTTTAGCAGGTCATAGTGTTGGTATGGTAACATATAGTGTAACGAAAATAATACCAACGTGTTCACGAGTGATTGGGCAGTTTTTTGATACCATGAATGTAGCATCAATTGACAAAGAGTGGTTATAATAACCCATCATAATCTTCGTCTTGGAAAGTGCTGGAAACTGTTTTGAGCCACCTTAAATTGTTATTTGTAAGTGTGCATTCATTTCATTCATTTTACCACTGGGTCTTAGTTTTCCGGGTCTTAGTTTTCCGGGTCTTAGGTCTTAGGTCTTAGGTCTTAGTTTTCCGGACACCCCTGACCGTACAGCGAGATCCAGTTATATATCCCACACAAGCGACTAAACAGGTTAAACTTCTCTTTCGGTCACTCCGTATTTTCACTTTTAATGGTTAATTCAAAGGGGGGAAGTTCGAGTATTTTGATACTATTTAGCGGCATGAAATCAACAAGCAAATTTCCTACTCTTACAAGTAAGGCCATAGTCGGATGTTTCCTTCCATTTTCGAAAATTTGCTTTTCTGGTTTACATTGGTGCTCTATGGCGATTACTTATTCTCAGAGGTTAAGAGATCGAGGCGGTGGATCGTGAAATATTATTTGCTAAAACATCGTTAAAGATGGACAAATTTTTCTTGTCCTTTTCAACCTTGTTTTTAGATTTTTCGTTAACATGTAAAAGTATATTCCAACAAAACTTATTTGTAAGAGCATTGTTTCGGAACACTCTTTCATTCTTGAATGTTTGATTTTGCATCCAAGCGGGGGAACACTGATGAATTTGCGTTTTAATAATCATGCACTGTAAGCTCTCAGATTCACTGACAAGAACCCTCACCATTTGGAAGATGATTTTATTCTGATAATTATTCAATGATGATTTGTTTATACATACAAAATTGGCGCCTAAAAGAATTGTAATGTTATGCTTAAAATGTTTACATAATGTCTTGAAACATAACTGAAATCAATATAAAATATGAAAATACACATGTGTGCATTCTTTTCCCTGTCCTACTATAAAAGTGATTTAATGCATTTTCATATGTCCATTACAATATTACTCTCACTTTGAAACTAGCACAAGTTCAAGCGCGAAACAATTCTTGCCCTTGTTCACCTTTGCACTTGCTGGACTACCATTCCTGTTTGAAGTACAGACAACACTGGACATGAAATCCCTGTATTTGATTCCTTACATTGGCATCCACATAAGAATTACCTTCATCACATACAATGTATTTGTACGCTTACAAAAATCATAAATGTTATTATTCCTTTTCCATCCAAAAGATTTCTTCCCTTCTTGAATATAAATTCGTATCCATGACACTTTAGAAATCTTGAAATATCTAAACGGGGTATCGCTAGTTGTGGGCAACAACTAAATGCCATAGGGGTAACTTTTCACTCTACGATAGAAATAGATCTTTTGATACTCTGGGTCTCATATATTCAGTGTTTGTGCACATGAATTTAGGAGCACTTGGCTTGCCAATGTCGGTTTGGCTGTGTATACACTGTAGTAGTGTATATAGTCATATATCATAGGCTGCACAAGTTGCAATTTATGTAAAATTGCCCCTGAAACAAGCTCAATGCTCCTGGTGTCGCAAGATGACAAGTTATGAAAAATTTCATTTGCCTTTTTCCTGTTGCAGGAGCTCCCTATGAGATGCTCAGCACTAAACCTTGTTGATTCAGGTGATAGTCATTGAGGACGACTGCATCGTCACATTTAAACCAGTCGCACTTTTCACTCAAACCATAGCAGAGCTGGTACAAAATGGCGACTATCCGTTTTTTATTTTACTCTATGCTGTCTGCAGAATGTGAAGGGTCTGTCACTCCATCCTGAACTGCATCAAACAGCCTTGGTGCCCCAGAAGACACACAGACAAGCGTTAATTTTAATGAGTCATACATTGGCTCACTTGAAGCTACCATAAACTCAGACTTTATATATATCAGGCTTTAAGATCCTTAAGTTCTCCTTATGTTGAAATTGAATGAAAAGGAAAAGTTAGAGCTAATTTTCTCCCATTTTCAATTTTTTAATCTTAGCCCAGATATGGACTAGTCAAGGGAGCTAGGCCTTATTAGTTATATCTTAAATAATTAACACATGTGCAGTAGAAAATAACAACAACAAAATTTATGAAAAGCAAAAATGAGTGCAAGCATGGAAGTATCAGAAGCAGAAAATTCACTTCAATGTCTCAGAGAGAAAATGCAGTTTTAGATATGACTATGATCTTTACTATTTTAAGTATTTTCACTGTTGTGTGCATATTATATTTTGCAATTTTCTAGTATGTAGAAGTGTGGGGAGTAAAGGGAAGGATTTTTCATGGTTAGGGTTACCTCAATAAAACACATCTGTAATATGAAACATCTTGTACCACACTCCTGTTTTGGCTCATCTAATTCTTTATTTTAGAAGTATAAGGGGCATCTTGGAGTCAAGAGCCTCCATATTACAAAATTCTGCCTACACCCCTGAATAAGGTAAGGCATCACATAGATTTAATGGATGTCATTTCTTGAGTTTGGGTCTTCAGTTTTATATCATCTAGTCAAAAAAGGAAACATACAATTTTATAGCCCTGGGTGGGATATCTTTGAAATTTTATCAGTCGCAGAATTAGGGCACTGCACCTGCTTTGGCCACTGGTGGTTAGGATGGGGTATCTCTGAAAAGTAATCACTGCACTAAGTTTGCACATCTCTGAAAAACAGGGCGTTCCTGAACCGTAACTGACGTGAAATCGTATTATTGCAAGGGGATTGTCGCAAGAACTGCAGTTATGACTATATAAACAGACTAGCATTTAAAATTTTTTTTCACAGCGTTTTATTCAAATCGTAAGCGTCGGACGTTTTGTACTCGGTCACAACTTACATGAAGAGATTTTTTCCCAGTTATCCAGTGTTTAATAGAGGAGTTTTGCAACTGTTACACAGAACCCCATCGACGTGTCCGCGCGCAAGCCAAAACACGAAACAATAATCACTCATGGACCACAAACCGCGCAAAATTGTGAATGATCTGCTACTTATTAGCCTTGAGACTAATCTCGCATATTACAAAGAAGACTTTGTCTTATCTGCACTCCACAAAGATAGAACAGATGACTAAGACGATGGTAATTTTTAAAAGAGGCGCCATTTTTCTTTGGTGCATTCGCTGCGATCCAATACCACCACAAACTTCTGTCCAGCGGCTCGCGCATACTCGCAACGTTACCACTTGCTGTTGGGTTTGAGTAGTGCTTTTCCCACGCTTCCTGTTAAATTTTTGCACGCTTGTGTTTTGTTTCATCATTTAGTGAATTTTATTATGCGTGCTTTACCTCTCAAACATCTGTTTGTGTAGTGCTTTCCCTCGGTTCCCGTAGAATTTTTGGAGCGCTTCTGTTTTGTTTTATTCGGTATATTTTGTCACCTGTGTTTTGCCTTACAAACCTCGGGTTTGTGCAGTGCTTTTCCCTCGCTTCCTGTAGACTTTTTGCACGCCTGTGTTTTGTTTTATTCAGTAGATTTTTGTTATGCGTGCTTTCCCTCACAAACTTCGGGTTTGTGCAGTGCTTTTCCCTTACTTCCTGTAATTTTTTGGCAGGCTTGTTTTATTTTATTCGGCAAATTTTGTTATGCGTGCTTTGCCTCTCAAACAACTGTTTGTGCAGTATTTCTAAATTCCCTCGGCTCTGGTTAAATGTGTACGTACCCTTATTTTGTCCCCTGTACTATTTAGTGAAGTGTTTTGTTATGCGTGCCTTGCCTCGCGAACTCCAGTTTTTGTTCCTGGTCCCTTTGATTTGCCCGCTTTACTTACTCGTTGTTATTTAGTTTTGGTAATATGCCTACCGAAGTTTCCCGCGCCTATTTTTCGTTTCTTCCTTCTCCAATGGTGGCCCTGAAAGGGTGTCTTCTGCCCTAGTCGGATTACTGACGCTCAGGCTGCTATCTCTTGGATAAGGTTATCTCGCGTATCCTCTGCGCCTTACGTTTGTCCTTTTTTCTTCAGTTTTTTTTTCTTGTTACCACTCAAGGGTTGGAAGCCTTTGAATGGTTCGTTCATATCGTTCTTTTCGTATTCCCAGAATGGTCCCCTTGCCCAGCTGTTGGCTAGGGTTAGAAGTTTGGAGGACGCTATATTGCAACTGCAATACAGGCTCGCCTCGCAAAGATAGCTCAATATGGCTTCCCGAGGGAACAACACTTTGACAAATACTTCGCGCTTGCTATGGCAGAGCAGCTTGCCACCGCAACAAAGTTGGCTGGGGATGAGAAAGCCCCGACTTACAACGCCATTGCGTGCACCCTTTGGGAGAAGCTTCCAGTTCCGAAGAAACAATTCAAAGCGTATATTGTTACCCTGTTGGCTGACAAGGAGTACGCCAAAGTACTTGAGGCGGTCACCAAAGGTGACAAGTCATTTAAAACTTCAGCCTCCAGCTTCAGTGGGGTCACAGCCCAGCCTTTTCCTCGTTCATACTAGACGGCCAAGAGTTTTCTTTTACGCTTACGGCGCTCCTGGTCATATTGTTACCAGGTGCTTTAAGAGGTTTGGTGGTCGCAGTTACCCGCAGTCTCGTCCTCGTCCACTTATGTCACCTCCTAGTGGCCCGAAATACATGGCGTTTTTCCCCTTTCATTGTTATTCAAAGGCGGACGCTGACATTTGTTTCTTTGTATCCTGTCTTTGCTTGTGTAGCAGTCTGTTCTCGTTATTTTTAATGGCAAGCTTTGAATTAAAGTTTAAAGTATATTTTGTTACTTGAATGTTTCGTCTCCTATTACTCCAGTCCGTTGTTTACCCGTTTGCTGAGGGCTGAACGCAGGTTTCCTTCAGTATTTCTTCTTATTTTAGGCTATTTGTTTTATAGTACTTTCATTTTCATAGTTGCGAGCCTTTCAGCTCACTTTGTTAGTCAACCTTAGGGGTGTCATACATCCTTTCTTGAGTTCAACCCTGAACTTATCTCTTCTTCCCCTTTAATTTTTAATTTCCAGCCTCCACCCAAGCGTATTAGACTCTCTTAAGGTCGGTACACACTAGGCGACAAGTTGCAGCAACAAGTCGCCGTGACAGATCACTTGGTGTGTACAGGTTCGGCGACAAGTTGCAGCAACATGTTACGGCGACACATCGCAGCGACAAATCGCTTCGTGTCTACTGGGGAAATTTTGTGAAAATCTTTGTCTCTGCAACAGAATTTTGTCGCTGCAACAGGTCGCACGCCAAAATTCTGTTGCAGAGAAAAGGATTTTCACAAAATGTCCCTAGTACACACGAAGAGATTTGTCGCTGCGACGCACATGTTGCTGCAACTTGTCGCCTAGTCTGTACCGACCTTTACGCTGTTCCAGATCGTGGGAGCGTACGGATAAGTTTGATCCGTTGTCTGTCAAACATAACAGCATTTCCTGGGTTCATCACGATGGCAAGGCCCTAGAGCCTCGTCCTCACTCCCCTCAACCTTATAATACTCACTTGTCTACAATTTGGATCAACAGTGTTATTTGCGGCGACTTAGCAGCGGACGTTTCAATGCTTACCTTTCCAGACCCCGCTAATATTCTTGCCGGTCAGCTGCATCAGCATCTCCTAGCAAGGATCGACCCAGCCGGTTCCATCACTTACCCACTTTCGCAAACTGTTCTCGCTTGGCTAGAGAATAAAGTACAAGTGCAACGCTTTTTCAAGAATTTTAAAGGCAACTTTAAGGGCGGGTACTTTGACTCTTCCTCCCCTCGCAAGCGATATTCGCAATCATATTTCTTGTGCGCCTTTGGCCGAGTTTATTTGTGACACGATTTTACAGCGTCTTGCTACTGGAGTCATTTCTGTTTGGGGCAAAGTGAGCGAGGTAGGTCCTCCTCATCTGGTCATGCCGCTTACAGTCGAACCTTCTAAGCCTAGACTTTCCAATGACAATAGATTTTTGAATTTATGGATGATTGACCAGCCGTTCAATCATGACCACCTCGTATCAAACTGTATTCATAAATAAAGCTGTTGTTTTTCTCATTCGTCTCGGTTGTTTTGCCTATAGGGTCTACCTCCGGTTGCGCGCAACTTTGTTTCCGCTGCCTGCTGCCCTGAGTGTCAATATCCAAATGATCAGGATTTCCGGTTTTGCCTTTTTCAGCTTCAAGCCCTGATATTTCCGCCATAGATAGTCGTCTCAATCAGTTTTACAGGGCATCGCTTTATCCTCCGCTTATGCTAAACAGAAAGCCTCACTGAAGAAAGAATTCCACGCTTTTCTCTGTTCTCTGCTGGGGAATAAAACGTTTCTTTCTACCACGCTTTAAGATGTTTGTCGCTTCCTGGCATGGAATGACTCCCGGGGAAAGACGCAAGTCCATGAAACCTCTTGTCCTAACCTAGGGAAGCACAACGTTCATGACTGTGGTTGCCCTACTCGCCTATCTTCTGCTACCGTGGAATCCTATATTGGAAAGCTGCGAGCAATTTGTTTCAAAGATGTAGGAAGTGGCGGGGGG